GTTGGGAAGTTCCAAGGCAAAACATTCATGGATTTGTACAGATATCATGTAGTCTTCACATTAAACATCACCAGTATAACCAAGCAGCAGAAGTAAAGCCTTGAAATTTGATTACTATTTGTCTAATCTTCTAATTAGTATATGTGGTTTTCCAAATGAGTATGGAATATGAATGTTAAGAACTTGTCAGATATCTCCTGGGTACTTTGAAATTGTTAGCAGTGAAAAGAAGCAGTTATGTTGGGGTTGTTAGTTCATATACATCTGAATTACCAATATTAGAATTCAGTAATGCCTGAGATCAAGATGCAGCATCCTAGCGTTTGAATTACTGTTCAAAAAGGAACAGAAATGAAATGGGCACCGTTTCTTAAAGTAGTTTAAACCTTTTTGTGAATAGAGAGAAATAGCAGTTTTACCTTTATAGACAGACAACCACTGGCACTGTCCATATATACATAAGAGACCCGATACACACATAAGGACCTCAGACTACTTGTAGAAGAAAAAGAAAACCTGCCTCTTGTAGTGACTCCTTTCTGGGGATTTGCAAGGTGAGCGCCTTTAAAGCTAATAAAGGCCACTAGAGGAAGAAGATTCCTACTACCTGGTGACTGATGTTTTATTACATCGCTTGTAAGAGTAGGTTTAGTTAGTGAAGGAGTTGATTTCTTCCAGCTAGCCCCACTTCAATATTATGGACTTCCTTGTTCCCTTCATTATATTCCTACTCTCAAGCCTAGCACACATATTTACTAAATATATATTAGCTTACTTTTCATTTTCAGTCTCATCTGTACTCACTCCTCCTTCTCTGCCTTCAATTATACATAAGCACTCCCTGATCCTGAGAAGTTCCGTTGCAGTTTTTGTTCTCCAAAATGCCGTCCATGTTTTGCATTCTTTCATTGCAGTGTATCCATTCTCACGGCCTCCCTTTTCTTTCAACTTGTTTCCATGGATAGACAGGAAGATTGGCAGTAGGTAGTAACGTTGGGTAGTAATTTTGGCCTTGTTGTGACAGCCCCTCAGAACTCCCCGTAGTCTGTCCCCATAAAAGGGACAAACTTGCAGTGGAGAGAACAGGACTATAGCAAGAGGACAAGGAGGCTTCTTCATTCACTAAGGTGATGACAGCAAACAGACTTACCGAGATAGAGAGGCATGAACAGATGGAAGGAATGAACCTTAAGGAATGCCTGTGATTAAGGATGAGCAGGTGGACAGTGGGATATAGAAGTTGGAGGGATGTAGAACGAGGAGTGATTGTCCAGTTTAGAGTTCCTTGAGTTTTAGGATGTTTGACTCCAAAAAGTTCACAGAAGCCTCCCCTACTTCAGCCACCCCCTGGGGACTCTAGGTTAAGAACATCAGTTTTAGTTTTGTGGACTTTACTCCTCCCACCCCCAATCTCTTTGGCTGTGGCAAAGCTTCCAGGATCCCATGTTGTTGTTCTCAGGTGCGGTCAGGTCTTTTCTCCTGTGGAGCAGCTGGATGGGTTTGAACCACCAACCTTTCAATTAGCAGCCAGCACTTAACCATTTACCACCAGGACTCCTTTCAGGATCTCATAGTGTCTCTTTTTCTTGCCTTTCTCTTACTTTCTTCACTTTTTCCTTTAATTTTTTTCATTCATTAGTTACCCTTCCTCCCTATCCAAGGTGAGGATGGCAGTCAGCTGTCTAAGGAAAAAGACGATTGCTTTTTCAAGCCCTGCACCTGTATGTATACGCTTTCCCAGACTAATACACAAATCTGCCATAGCCCTCAGTTGGTTACGCAGATACACAGAAGAATAGGTGATCTGGTAAGAGAGAGTAGAGGAATGGGAAAAAATGGGCAGCATAGAAGAGAACATCGGGTCATAAATAAAGTGACCACCCATTGCCGTCGAGTGGATTCTGAGTCATAGCGACCTTATACGACAGAGTAGAACTGCCCCATAGGGTTTCCAAGGCTGTCATCTTTACAGAAGCAGGCTGAGAAATCTTTCTCCCATGAAGTGGCTAGTGGATTCAGACTGTTGACCTTTCAGTTAGGACCCAAGTGCTTAATCTCTGTGCCACCAGAGCTCCTAAAAGTGACCACAGACCACTGATACTCTGTTTATTTTAAAGATTATTCTCATTAACTTTGTCTAAATGTGTTATATTAAAATCTCTGGTCATCTTTTCCTTTTTCAAGTATTTTTTTTTAGATATTGGTTTGAGCACATGGTCATAGACATCTTTTCATTTAAAAGTGTCCCTATCCTAAATAGGTTGAGTAGCTTTCTTTCCAGCTCGTTTGTGCAGTGGTCCTTCCGTTTCCTATTTTTGTTGATCAGACAAGGACAGTTATCTTTTTATCTCTCTATTCTGGAGCCTAGCACAGTGTTGTTAGATGGATGGATGAGTGAGCAGGTGGATTTTAAAGAAGTCTTCCTGATTTTGGAGATTTTCTCCTTAACTGGGATGGTAAATCTGACTTTCTTTTAGGCTGCTGAAGAATAACTACCACATCCTGCATTGATACTTCTTTTATTCCTAGAAGCATAAGGTCATTAAACCACACCCCTGCTGTCGAGTCACATCTGACTCATAGCAACCGCATGGGGTTTCCAAGGCTGTAAATCTCTACGGAAGCAGATTGCCACATCTTTCTCCCGCAGAGCCGCTGGTGGTTTCGAATCCCAGATCTTTCGGTTAGCAGTCAATCACTTTAAACACTGCGCCACCAGGGCTCCTTATAAGGCCATTAGCCATGGCAGTTACCATGGATTCTCTTGCTTGTCTAGGCATGAGATTGTAGGTTAAAATTGAACTGATTGAAGTAAAATGGCATAGGTCTTGCTGTTTCTCAGTGAGAACCAAAACAGCCACTACATCTGATTGTGAGAAAACAGCATCTCTTAGAACCTGACCGTGAGGGCAGTGGTTTCCAGCTGTCTTCCCAGGGGAGGCCGTTATTTGATGAGCTGGACTGTCTTCTCATTGAAGGGGAAAAGATAAAGAATAGTATTTTTCACAGTTTTAAATTTTTCCTCCTATTAATTTTTCATAGATCTTGGCTTTAGTTTGTACTTTATCAGAATCTCTTATCATTAGTATCTAATTTAGTGTAAAATTTAGATACTTAGATACCAAGTTGAATAAATCAATATTGCCAAGGGCTTTGTTTGCATTAGGAAACATTTGAAAGCCACTGCATTAAAACGCTATTTCCCTTGCCAAGGGTTTAGAGGTATGGGGAATGGGGAGTGACTGCTTAATGGGTACCAGGTTTCCCTTAGGTATGATAAAAATGTTTTGGAGCTAGATAGAGGTGATGGCTGTACACGATTGTGAACATATTAAGTGCTACTAAATTGTACCCTTTAAAATGGTTAATTTTACATTATGTGAAATTTACGTCAATTGAAAAAAACACTATGTCTCAGTCATCTAGTGCTGCTCTAACAGAGATACCACGAGTGGATGGATTTAGCAAAGAGAAGTTTATTCTCTCACAGTCCAGTAGGCTGCAAGTCCAAATTCAGGGCGTCAGCTCCAGGGGAACGCTTTCTCCGTCGGCTCTGGAGGAAGGTCCGTGTCGTCAGTCTTCCCTTGGTCTGGGAGCTTCTCTGTGCAGGAACCTCAGGTCCAAAGGACACGCTCTGCTCCCAGCACTGCTTTCTTGGTGGTATGAGGTTCCCGTGTGTCTCTGCTCACTTCTCTCTTTTATATCTCAAAAGAGATTGCGTTAAGACACTAATCTTGTCAACCTCATCAGTATAACCTCATCACAGTGATAGAATTTACAACACATAAGGAGATCACATATAATCTCATCATAGTGACAGTTTACGACACATGAGGAAATCACATCAGATAACACAATTATACAATAGTGGGAATCGTGACCCAGCCAAGCTGACAGATATTTTTGGGAGATACAACTCCATCCATAACATACTATTTCCCCTTTTTTTTTTTTTTTCCATCTAAGCCATATCTGTTAGTTGTCAAAATATATGTTGTGGCTCAGGGGATGATGTCTTCCTGTAGCTGGTATGATTGTATAATTATTCCTTCAGACTATAACATTTACTAGAGTGAAAATGAGTGCACATCAGATGAATGCTGGAATAACAAGCATAAACCAGGATTATCTCAGGCAAACCGGGATATACACTCACATTATCTAAAGCTGACACTGAATGCTGTATATGTACAAGCTCAACACCACTTGCTATCTTTCTGCATCAAAAGACCCAATATCATCTTAAAATAATTTCTTAAGGCTCGTGTACAGAACTTGATTCTTTAAAGAAAGGCAGTCTGTTATATAGTTGAGAGAGCTAACCTTCCCACATGCAGGTAGAAAGTCCATTTCAGACTTTTAAAATGTAATAAATAATCTTACTGAGTTAAAAATGAAATACAACTGAATAAAAACATTCTTATTTTTAATAAAAGCAATGAGACTTTAAACGGGTTTCTTTAATCCTGTTTCCACTGGCGTTTGGATCGTTCTCATCTGCTGTTGGCTTATAAACAATTGAGTAGGTTAATCTGTGCATGCAGCTATGTGTGTGTGGATGCACATACACACACACACAGACTGTAGTCATGTTCTCTTTGCTGTGGCACCATCACCTCAGTTCCTGTAGTCAAATACTGTCAGGTTAGTACGGGGAAATCCGATGTATTTAAGTCAATGAAAGATGGAAACCTATCTTATTAGTATGCTTACTCTCAAACTTTTGGCCACTACCTTTCCTCAGGATATCTTTAGTTCTCAGACATATCCTAATTTTAGGAGATAGAGCCTTTGCTTTGTACCACAGCATTTCTGCAGGCTTTCTCTGTTTAAGTTGATTACTAGCTCATTGATTTAGTTTGAGATGTAAATTTATCATGTCTTTTTTCTGTTCAACCAGTGTTGTAATGTAATATGTTATGCTTATTGTTACTAATAAAGTAATTTCACATACAAAGATAAGAGTGGGCTGTAATATCTGTGTCTCACCTTTTGTCTAGAACTGTCAAGTAATCCACCTCTGGCCACCATCCTTATTCCTCCTCATGCTCGGATTCAAGCAGCTGCTTCAACCCCTACAAATGCCACAGCAGCCTCAGGTGAGGATACATAAGTCTCTTCTATGAAAACATACTCTACTTGGAAAAAGGACATGCTCACCTGCATTTCACTTTATTTAATGAATGGGAGCAAGTATCAAAAGCATAACATAGCCAAATGAGTAAATGTGAATAAAATGTTGATTTTATTTCCAAAAGGCACAACAAAACCACATGAACACTTTATATGTAAGCTGTGAATATCTTATTATAATGTTAAACTCTGCCACCTTAGTTGTTGTTTAAAAATTCATGCTTTCAATATTATTTTTTTCCATATTATTTCTTTCCATATTATCCAATGAGATACTTAGAAGACCATCTGTACAGGTATAATGTCATGGAAGATAATTGACTTTAGTCCATCACCCTGAAAGCTCAATCCCAAAGCATATGAGATAAAAAGCAGAAGAACAAAGCAGACTGACAGAGATGTCATCAGCTGTGATCGCACTGACTATATTATCATGAAATAAGCTTTGGATTTTGGTCTATTTCTGTTGGTAGCAAAAGCTATTAAATGACTTCAAGTATTAGGTTTTGTTAAATGTTAAGTATATTGTAGGCAAAAATCTTGATTTATGTTACTGCTTCTGGAAAAACAAAGAAAATAGACCTTTTCTTATCCAGATTGTGGCCTAAAGTCATGTTGAGGTTATTCTAGGAAGATGTGATTGTTATTCTCTAGCTTCTCCAAAAGAACTTTGACCAATACAATGAAATATTGCAATATAGTTGTTGTTCTTACCTTTCTTAAAAATGGTAAAGATGGTGTATCTGTCAAGTTTGATGATAATCAGTACTGATGAAATTACTTTTGCAGATGTTTAAACTACTCTTTCCTTGTGTTCAAGGTTCAGGTAGTGATTGCGGGTGAATTGATAAAGACCTGTTGGAAAGCCTTGCAGTATACAGCAAGAGCCATCGGAGTTCATACTTTTTAGTCCACTGATCCGATTGTAACTAAATCTGTTAAATCTAGTAGAAACAAAAAAGCTATGTATACAGGGATATGAATAGGAATGATCATGTAATAACAAATGAGAGCCAGTCTGATCTGATTCTCAATACATTGTGGAATTTTCATCTTTCTGTAGCCATTGAAAAAAACAATTACTATGAAATTTGTGGACATTTGTGGAAATAGTCATCTCAGTTTATATGGGGAAAATCTAAAATCTAATCAACCAAGTTGGTAACTATGTCAAAATGTGTGTTTGCAAGTAAATAGAGGTTAGATAGAAATATACAAAAGTTTAAACTTTTATGTTAAATTAGTAGGTATGGATGATTTTTTTTTCCCCAAAAACTCACATTTTTAAAAAGTCCATTTTTAAAATACTTCAGTATCTGGGGGCATTATAGTTGATCACAGCTATGATTGACATGAGAACCTCTTGAAAAATACACATGCTAAATAGAAATATAATTCTTATTTTCTCCACACCCCCAATGAATTGTCTCATTTACTTCATTTGGGAGACCATCCATCTGGACAATCTAGAGTAATAAATCTCAAGAGATTATAGTTCTCCTAATCAAGTGAGAACCACTTTAGAGGTCATCTGGTCCAATGCTGATTGCAGTTAAGTGTGACACGTAGTAGGAAATTTTAACAAAAGCAGTTTTCTCTCTTTATCTTTTTTGTATATTGGTTTCCTGGATAAGGTTTATTTCAGTGCAGTGGTTCTGCTATTAAAACAGATTTGAAAACACTGATTTCAGCCCACCCCTCTTATTACCTACTGAGAACTGGTCATTTGTCCCATGCTAATGTGTATTTAGTAACTGGAAACTCCTCACTGCAAGAATGAGCACATTCCATCTTTGCATCACACTGTTAGAAAGTTTACCTTTTCTTACCTTGAAATTTGTCCCTGGTGGCACAGTGGTTAAAGCGCTCATCTGCTAACCAAACAGCCGGCAGTTTGAATCCACCGTCCACTCTGCGGGAGAAAAATGTGGCAGTCTTTTTCCGTAAAGATTACAGCCTTGGAAACCCCACGGGGTCTCTGCGAGTCGGAATCGACTCAGTGGCAGTGGGTTTTTTTAAACCTTCTTCCACTCAGTGATTCTATCCCTAGAGTTAATACAGAACCAACCCAGTCCTTCCATGCAGATGTCCTTCAAATTTTAATGATAGCTAACATGCCCTCCATGCTAATAAGGATTTCAAGTTCTAATCCTGGATATGTTCTAATGTGTCAGGGTGTTAAGTTTTCTATATAATTATATATCATCTGTAGATTTCATAAACATGTCAAATTTTGGCCTCTGTCGAACCAACTACTGAAATCTATCAAAACAGGACAAGGTGGGGCCTATCAGAGGTGTTTTTTTTTGTTTTGTTTTGTTCTTGTTTTTTGCCTTTATCCAGGTGTCTTAGTCATCTAGTGCTGCTATAACAGAAATACCACAAGTGGATGGTTTTAACGAAGAGAAGTTTATTTCCTTACAGTAAAATAGGCTAAAAGTCCAAATTCAGGGCATCAGCTCCAGGGGAAGGCTTTTTCTCTCTGTTGGCCTTCTTCCCTTCGATGTTCCCCTGGACTAGGAGCTTCTCCGCACAGGGACCCCAGGTCTAAAGGACACGCTCTGCTCCCATCACTGCTTTCTTGATGGTATGAGGTCCCCCTGTCTCACTGCTCACTTCTCTCTTTTATATCTCAAGAGATTGCCTCAGGACACAGTCCAATCTTGTAGATTGAGTCCTTCCTCACTAACACAACTGCCGCCCATCCTCCCTCGTTAACATCATAGAGGCAGGATTTGCAACATATAGGAAAATCACACAATACTGGGAATCATGGCCCAGCCAAACTGATACACGCATTTTTGGGGGGATATAATTCAATTCATGACACCAGGTAACTGATAAAAATATCTTAAATGGAACTAGGCAAGGCTTACTAGAGATTACTCTTATGGTAGTCTCTGGATGCTTGGTTACCCGCTTGTTATTTGCTTAACTACAAACCAACTTTAAAATACTCTATATAAGAATGCTATGAAAAACTTTATAAAATACTTTGCTGGTGTCAAGAAAATTTTCAGCCTTTTCCCATTAAAAAAAAGTAGCACCATCAAAGATAGAAGTTAATCTTTGGTTTAAGACATGGGGAAATTTCTAGTGCCTAAATGTGTGTGAACTGTGGATTTCTGTAATCCATTTTAGATGTATTTCTTGGATTTGAAGACAGTTTAAAATGTGTAGATTTCCCTCCCCTTCCTGGGGCTGCATTTTATTTACAGGATTTTTATTCTATCCTTTCCAGATTGGAAACCTTTCTAGAGAAAAGAGAATCATGATAGGGATTGGACAAAATCTGTCTTCCTGAAGTTATATATTTTTTGAATTACGAGCTCATCAGAGAAAGCCCTTTTTAGCTGGTTTCTTTAGTTCTCCTTTTACTTTGCATTGAGAGTATTTGCAATTGCTTGGTCAGAATTTTGCTTTTGTTTTTATTTTTAATTTTCTATTTCTTGTCAGTTATTAGCCCCCTTTAAAGACTCTGGCCACAAAATCATACCTAATTGTTTTCTGAGTTTTTTGAAATTGATTTTGTGAAAGTCTGTGGTAGAGATTTAGCCATGGCCAAGTTGGCCCCGTTTCTTTACCGTTAGATTATTTTTGCCCCGAATTCCTGTCACTGTCTACATCACCAGTCAATTCTTTCTAGTTGGGCAGAATTAAACCCCTTTCTAGTTGGGCAGTTAACCCCTGCTTCTACCCTTGTTGTTATTGTATGCTGTTGAGTCGATTCTGACTCATAGTGACCCCACAGGACAGAGTATAACTTGCCCCATAGAGTTCCCAAGGCTGGAATCTTTATGGGAGCAGATCACCGGGTCTTTTCTCCTGTGGAGCCACTGGTGGGTTCAAACCACCAACCTTTCAGTTAGCAGTCAGTACTTAACCATTGTGCCACCGCAGCTCCTTCGTCTTTGCATAAAGCCATGCTTATTCTCTTAAAATAATTTCTAAAAATAGAATTTCTGAGTTACAAAGTACGAAGAATTTAAAATTTTTTGATCCATATTGTCAAATTCCCTTCTGGAAAGCTTGTCCCAGTTTACACCCCCACTGGCAGTGCGAGGACTTTGCCGTTTCCCCATTATCTTAGCACCAGCCACCCCAGGATGCGGGGGGTTGGGGCAGTGTGTATGTGCACACACGTTTTTAGATATTACCGACTTAGTAGCCGAAGAATGTGTATGCCAACTTTAAATATAATACTGTATTCGTTCCTTCCTGTTGGCTGTGTGTTTAAAATACATACTTTCATCCCCATATCACAGTTTGACAAATTCAGTGACACCAATGAGATTCTATCTACCCTGTGTTAGGGTTTCAAGTCCACTTTGTGAATAATACATAGATCCCTAAAATCAAACCAGTTTAGTCATTTCTTTTACCAGAGCAATGTTAACCATCACTTCTAGGAGATTATTTCTTTCAATGCAAAACATGTTCTCCCCTGTTAAGTCAGAATTGGTGTTTGAGTCCCCTCTCCTAAATGTAATGTAAAATCTTCCTGATTACCTTGATGAATGTCCAGTAGACATTCTTTGGGGCGTTCCTTGGTGCTCAGGAAGTCACTTGCTTTATTCATATGCCTTTTCTTACTCTGTATTCCTAAATTAGGTCTTTTAATAAAGAAAAGATGAAAATGTCTGGGTCCCCATGGCTTTCAGTTCCCTACCTTGAATAAACCAACCATCTCGGTTGAAATGTCCTTTGGCCCTGAGCTCACAGGCAGCAGAGTCGTCTCTGCTGATGGCAGATCAAATAGAAGCAGTCTGGTTGACTGGCACCGCAGGTTTCCTGGTGGATGCGTTGGCTCATCAGCATCTTAATTTCACTTCTATTTTTGCAATGACTGAAGTTCTTTTTGGTATCTTGTGCCACATCATTTCCCCTGAATAATATGAAAAGAAGGCTGGTGATGCTTTGCTAAGGTGGATTCCTCCTCCTCCCTCATCACTCTATAGAAATAATCTTGTCAAAATAATAGTAGACATTATAGAGAAAAAAAATGAAAATTGAGTCATCCTTCTCCTTACAGGTGGTACTGTGATTTCTTTAGTGTAGGGTTATGATTCAGCTTAAATGTAAACTTAGGGCATACCTTTGATTCCCTGTGAGAGTGATGGTCTTACTCGTTCACATGTCAGTTAGTAACACCAAGTGTCTGCGACATGGTTTTATAGTAGAGGCATTTCCACTTGGAACAGCTTGAATTGGACCATCCTGACTTAGCTACACATATAAATAATATATCTTGGGCTGCCAGAATTTTATCTTTTAGAGGAGTTGATCTGTCATAAGACATTTCTAACCACATAGAAAAAGATAGCTGATAAGTAGAAATACATACAAAATAGGCTTGGAGAGACTGGGGTGGGGAGATGTGTAAAGAAAATAAGGGAATAAAAGTATACTTAAGATTCCCAAGTGTGCTTATAAAGTACATGCGAAACACTAAAAGGTTAATTTGATATCTCTGAAATGGGTTCTTTCACTAATGTGCCAATAATAAAAGCATTAAAAATTTAATAACTGTGTAACTGTTAAGAACTTGATATGAGTTTAAGGCAAACCGGGATCTGAATTTTTACTTTTATTAATATCAATTGATTTAAATTTAAATAGCCACTTGTAGCTACCATATTGAAGAATGAAGAGAGAACATTTCTGTCTTCACAGAAAGTTCTGTTGGATAGCGGTGGGCCAGATAATGAGCATTTCTCTAAATTAAAAGATGTTTAACTTTTATAGACCATAGTTGTGAATACTGATTCATGGTGGCGGAGCCTTCGGAATCCTCCTCCTATGTTTACTCACTGTACTCTCCTCCCAACCTGTTGTTTTCTACTCTTATTTAAGCCTTTTGACAACAAGTTTATAAATGTGGGATCTTCCATTCACTCTCCTTCCTATCCCCCATTTGCACATTTGCTAAGCCACATCTGGAAGGAGAGTGAACAGGACTTGCTGATGCAATGGATGTTGGGGGGAGGGAGAGTGAGGAATCAAGGCCAGAAATGCAGGTTTATGACCTGAGCTGTTATATGGGGCAGTTTCCTGTGTATTGAGATTTTGTTGTTGTTGTTGTTGTGTGCCATCCAGTCGATTCCAACTCAGAGCAACCTTATAGGACAGAGTAGAACTGCCCCATAGGGTTTCCTAGGCTGTAATCTTTATGGGAACAAATTGCCAGGTCTTTTCTCCCAAGGAGCAGCTGGTGGGTTTGAACTCCTGACCTTTCAGTTAGCAGCCAAGTGCTTAATCATTGCGCCACCAGGGCTACTTCGGTATTGAGATACTGAACATCAAATTCATGACTATTATCTAGCAACTCTTAGAGATCTCTGAGAATCTGAAAGAAAAAAAAACCAAAAAACCATGGATCCTCCCCTAGGAAAATGCATGTGTATCAGATACAGAATTTTGCATAAAAAAATTTACTCTAGGACAAAAATTAGAGCATCATGGACTCTGTTGGGAACTTGATGCCTCAGAGGTACACCCTTAACATCACTATGGGATTGCCAAGTTGTCATTTTTACCTCTGAAGTCACACAGAATAAAATTTGGTTTAATAAAACCACAGATTCCCTTTGCAGTATCTGGTACAAGAGCCATGGAACCAGAGACTTAGAGGGAAAATAATTGATCACCTGATGCAATCTTCTTTGTCTTGCACAGGTTATTAGGAGCACATCCAATTGTTATAGAATGGCTTGATCAGTTAACCTCTCATGGGTTTCTGAGCACAAACCCTAACTGGGGTCTTCTGTTTCTTGCTCTGGTTCAAAATTTTAAGGTAGAAAGATTCAAAACCAAATGTTACATTCATCTATAACATTGGATTATTCCCTGGTCTGCTTAACATATGACATGACCCCCCCCAAAAAAAAAAAAAAACCCCAGTGCTGTCGAGTCAATTCCGACTCCTAGCGACCCTATAGGACAGAGTCGAGCTGCCCTGTAGAGTTTCCAAGGAGCACCTGGTGGATTCGAACTGCCAGCCTTTTGGTTAGCAGACATAGCACTCAACCAGTCTGCCACCAGGGTTTCCAAAAATACACGCCCAACGTGGGGCTCGAACCCACGACCCTAAGATTAAGATACTCATGCTGTACCAACTGAGCTAGCCAGGCACTATAGGACATGGGACAGCTACAGATGCCTTCAGTTCTAGAGAGAGGAAAACTTCTGGGTCTTTTTTTTTTTTTTGGTGTCACCAGCCTCCATGGCCAGGGGTGTTGTGGCTCCGAGAGAGAGAGCTCCTGGAAGTTGCACACCCCAGGCAATCCACCTCTCTTCTTGCTTAATTCCTAGGGTGAAGTCTTTGGGAGGACGTTTGGTCGGCAGTACATTCCCAGCCATTGTGTGTGATGAAAGGGATCCACCTTGACTAGCCACAGAAGCAGCAGTCTCTTGCCCACTGGGATGGAGAACCAGTCTAGACCAGGGCTTTGAACCATTTGTTCTGGTTCAAACCCCTGATGATAATATGCATTTCTAACAAGTTCCCTGTACATTATAAAACATAATCACCTGGAGATCTTGTTAAGATATAGTTTCTGATTTAGTGTATCTGGGGTGGAAATGAAAATTCTCACTGAGGAACTTGTTAGAAATGCAAATTCTCAGCAAGGCTTCAAACCTGCTTAAATGCTAATGGGTGCTATGAAATAATAATGGGCCTTAAAAAAAATGCTGGAGGAGTTTAAGGCTAATTGCAAAGTTGTACATATTTTCAAAGAAGCAGGCAAAGTAGGCTCCTTCTTAGACATTTGACTGTAAGATGCCTTATTGAATAAGTGAATCAATTACTACAGTGGCCATTTCCTTTTCGCTGGTTGGTTGTCTCCTATTTCTGTGCATATGATGAGTGACTGTGCTTAGAAAGCAAACAGCTGAGTTTGATTTACACACAGTGCCTCTGCCTGTCAACACTGACCCACATCACTTTCACTGCCTCCACCCAGTCACACACTTAAGCAGATGGCATATTGTAACATGATTCAGAATTTTTAGCAAGTTTTCCCAGCTGTGCACTGTTCATTTATTTTCAAGTGAGTTAGTGTCCAGCTGAGTGTCCCCGCACTGCTGATCCCAGCAGTAGCAAGAGCCTTGACAGAAATGGTCTCTGGCTCTGTGAGTCTGTAATGTATTCATTCAGAGACACTGTCCTCTCTGCACGAGGGTCATGCCTCAGCACGGACTTGACTCTAAGCAGAAAGAAATTCTGATTTCATAGTATTGGCCATATTTAAAACAACATTCCAGAAACAACTTGGAAGGCCACACAGCTCACAGTCTGCAGTTGCGGCAGCGGGCCTGTGCCCTTCGGGAAGGTGGTAATGGTATTGCTCACACTCTCTCTTGGGACTTTTGATTTGCAGACGCTAATGCTGGAGACCGTGGACAGACCAATAACGCCGCTTCTGCTTCAGCTTCCAACTCCACCTGAACAGTCCCAGGCAGCCAGCTGCACAGGAAAAACACCAGTTACTTGAGTGTCACTCAGCAACACTGGTCACGTTTGGAAAGAAAATTAAAAAGAAAAAAAAAACCTGTTCATTTTAGTGTTCAATTTTTTTTATTATTATTGTTGTTCTTATTTAACCTTGTAAAATATCTATAAATACAAACCAGTTTCATTGTATTCTCACTTTGAGGGAGATCCAGAGGGTGGGAGGGCGGTGGGGAGGGGGAAAGCGGAGCACTAGAACACAAAATCTCTCCCATGACAATCTTTTTTTATCAAAGGTCTGCTGTTGTATACTTTAAAAACAGGACTCCTGCCTCATGCCCCTTCCACAAAAGAAGAAAACCTGGTTCTGTGCTGAAGTTTTTGTGAATTTTGTTTTCTTTTAAAGTCAAGTGTAAGACTTTGGTATAGTGCACAGCTTGAAATTGGTTGGGAGCTTAGCAGGTGTAAGTCAATGGGGACTTCAGTGTCACTTGTAAAATTAATCCATATCCTCGGGTGTTTGAAGACTTGCCTTTGGCATGTTGGTGGCAAGCATGGCAGACAGAAGAGGAAATGTGTATCATTCGTAGGCCAGGGAGGTAAATAAACTTTGAAACTATAAGGGTAAGTTTCTTAATTGGTTTGTTTAGGCTTTGATTGCTCTTAATCAGGGCTCGTGGTGAAGAAACTTGTCTAGGAGGCTGTCTGACGAGGAGCAGGCAGAACTCTGGCTGCTCTGAGGGCGGATCTTCGTTTGCCTGACCAAAGGTTCTCTGCAAATCTTCGTACAATTTTAGACTAGTTACCTGGAGGAGACTGAGGGGTATTGAGCAGGCCGCTCAGGCTGCAGAGGTCAAAGGCAGACCCGCTGGAGGCACCGACCAGCCAGGGATTTTTTCAGCAGATCTCACCACTGTGAATGAATTTTTCCAGATTTTTTCTAAAGTTGCTTCCCTTAGAAAGATACACTTGAGAGGACACTATAGTTAAATAATGTGAACTGTAACAGTCTACTGGCTTATTTTTCATATTTTTAATTAAAAATTGAGCTTGCTGAAATTGCCATATTCTACACATAGTTCTAATTTTAAATCCAAATCTAGAATCTCTATTTAATTTTCACTTTTTTAACCTCATGCTTTTTAAATTTTATTTATTGATGCATGTCAGATAGGCCATTATGATTTTAGATGGTAGGAATATTGAAAACTACACATCAAAATGATACAAACAGTCACTTGTACCTGCTGATTTTATAGGAAAGCTGATTATATAAATGTGTGTATATATGTTATATATACATATATTCAGTACTGCCTTTTTTCTTTTTTTGTCTTCAGTATCAAAATTGACTGGTTGAAGCATGAGAATGTTGTCCCCCATGCCCAGTTAAGAATTTTTGTTCTGTTTTCTTTGTGTATTAGTGAATGGTGTAAGAATCAAAGTCTCTGTTTTTGCAGAAAAAGCAATATTCCTTGGAAAGCAAGGAGGATTGAAGGATTATGTTTGCAGTGAGGAAATAGATTTTCACAACTAGTTTGTTGTACACTTTTCAGGCTGGCGTCTACGTGGGCCTTACATACTCTAAAATGAACCTTAGTCACCTTGGTGCTTAGGGCCATTACTTGACCTAGGAATCTTTAAGGCACAATCAGCTGTACTTTACATTTAAAGGTCACTTGAGTGATGGCCGCCTTTCCCTCCTACCCGCCCCTTCCCCACACACCTTCCAAGGTTAGCTGAGCCTGAGATCGGGTGAAACCTCCCTTCAACCTCATTGCCACCTTAGGTCACGTTTGGGGTCTCGCCCTCTAGGTGGTTTGGAAGTGGAGTCTCTTAGCAGCCCTTATGCAGGCCCCAGTGCCCTGTCCTGCTTCTTAACGAAGTATGCGTGACTCTGAGAGAGTCGTACTGCCTGCTGTAGTGAACCAGTACCCAGGAAGACGACTGTGAGCCATCTGCGTTTTCACTCACTGTTCAGCTAAGCTCTTAGGCCACAAATGGGCATCTTAAGCCTCTGGTTATACAAGAGTTCGTGAGAAAGACACACTCAGTCAAACCAAATCAAACCAACTGGTTTTTACTTTTCATTAGGAGCTTCTAAGAGCTAGTTAAGATTTTAAAGCAGTCTGCAATCAAAGTATTTAATAGCATAATTCCTTAAAGGGAATGAATGGCTTGGACAGACCATTTTCTGAAAGGATTTGTAAAGAATCTGAGTGGCAGGTCAGTGACAGAAATAAACCTGCTTTCAGACTCAACTGCCTAGCCAAACGTTTAGACACAGACACTACTCTAGACTTGGTAAGCATCTGCTACAGTCTATAAAAACCAGTGCTTGCTTTAGGAAACATTTCCCACTATCACCACCACCACCGAACAGGATAGGAGAAGACAAGTGCTTTTCTCTCATTTTCTCGTGTGTGTGAGGGCTGAGTTGCAGTGATTTTTCTTTCTCAAGGATCATGGCAGGATCACAGAACTCTTTTATACAAGTGAGATCCAGGTCTCTGAATATTTTTTTGTAAATAATAATAATAATAAAAAGCTCCTCACCAAATTCAAGCTTGTACATTATATTTTTCTTTCGATGTTTTTAAATTTAAGTTTTATTGTTTTGTATGTAAATACGTGGACCCAGGAACTGTTATTAACGAGCAAAAAGTTACTGTTCAGGGCAGTGATTCTGCTTAATATCAGACAAAATGTAGACGAGCTTTTTAAAGCCATATAGTTTTAACTCTGTACAGTAGGTACCGGCCTGTATTATTGTAACAATAACTCTAGCAATGTATAGTGTATCTATATAGTTTGGAGTGCCTTCGCTTCCATGTGTTTGGGTTTTTTTTTTTGTTGGGTTTTTTTGTTTGTTTGTTTGTTTGTTTCATTTTTTGAAATTTTAATTGGTTTCCCTGATCCATGTCCCCCTCACCCATCTCCTTTCCCTTTTCAATAATAGCTCACTCATAAAACAGTATCTTTGCCCCTTCCACAGTTGTCAGGTTTCAGTGACACCGTGCTCCGTGGTGGAAAGAGGAAACCATGTTCAGAATCTCACTTCTCCAAGCCCTGACTTTATTTTGGTTCTGAGCGTCTGTTTCCTCGTCTGTAGCAGTGACTGGTTTCAGTTCATACTTAGCCCATTCAGGGACTCAGTCCAGCGCCAGGGAGCCCTAGACTAGCTGGAGATATGGAAAAAGATTAGATTTTGCTCGTCTCTTCCCCAAGCTCTAATGTTGAGTCTTAACAAACAGCAGATTCCGGGAGCCTTCCATGCTCGCCCTCCTCTTTAACCTACTTCCCTCCCAAAAGAGAGACAGAGAATTGGTTTTTATAAATCAGAGTTTCTTAATAGTATTGGGTTTTGATACGTCAGTGGTCTAAAATGCTATAGTGCAATTCCTAGCAGTCCTGGCACCGAGTGAGTGCCGCTGGGCCGTAGAGGCCAGTTGTTTTCACAAGGGAGCTCTTAGCCCATCCCCTCCCTCCTGCCATCTCTACCCCTGTTCAATGAAATGTCATTTTAATTTCGTAATAAAATCCATTTAATTCTTCCTGTGCCCAATGTGAAGGCCTTTTTTGAAAGAAAAAAAGATCAAATTATTTGTTTTGCCTCCAAGTACTCCATATAAGATGTCTTGAATAGAAGAGCAAACTACCAAACCAAAGGTTGTTATTTTTGAAACATCGTGTGTTCATTCCAACAAGGCAGAGACTGCGCCTTCTTTCCAATGACATGTTGTGTCATTTTTTTAAGTCCTCCTATTAGACATATTTTTGGTTTGTGTTTTAACCAAGTACGCCTAACCAGTCATCTCGTCTGCACCAATGCAAAGGTTTCTGAGAGGACTATTATATTCCCTATCCCTGGGATATAAAGACACTGGTGTTTCATTTATTTTCCATTTCCTTTTTAAAGGATTTAACTTTGGAATCTTCCAAAGGAAGATTGGCCAATGCAGATCCCCAAGAGTTTGGGGGATTTTGTTTGTTTTAAACCAACGTTGCATCAGATCCTGTTCATGTTAGTGATCATCTAATCACAGGGCCAAACACCCTTATCCCTATATAGAAGAAGAAACTAAGCATACAATAAATAAAACCTGTCTTTTCTGGCAGAAACCTGAGCCAATGAAAATAAAAGAGACAACTAGAAGCACAGCAGAGTCCCAGACTAAGGTCTACCTTTGAGAGGCTTCGAAAGTAATCCTTAGGGTTGGGGTTATTTTCACAAAGGTTATGCCCAGTTTTATTCAAGTTTGTTGCTCCGTTTTTGCACCTCTGCAATAAAGCAAAATGACAACCAGTACATAAGGGGTTAGCTTGACAAAGTAGACTTCCTTGTGTTAATTTTTTAAGTTTTTTTTTCTTACTGTATCTGTCTACAGGCAGATACAGATAGACGTATGAAAATGTGCTTGCCTGTAAAATTTGCATTTATAAATGTGTTGCCGATGGATCACTTGGGCCTGTACACATACCAATTAGCGTGACCACTTCCATCTTAAAAGCAAATCTAAACAAAATATAAATATATATATATTTATATATATATAAAGGACTGTGGGTTGTATACAAACTATTGCAAACACTTGTGCAAATCTGTCTTGATATAAAGGAAAAAGCAAAATCTGTATAACATTATTACTACTTGAATGCCTCTGTGACTGATTTTATTTTCATTTTAAATATAAACTTTTTTTTGTGAAAAGTATGCTCAATGTTTTTTTTCCCTTTCCCCATCCCCTTGTAAATAAATTTTGTTTTATGTGACTTGGTTTGGAAAATAGTTAACTGGTACTGTAATTTGCATTAAATAAAAAGTAGGTTAGCCTGGAAATGAAATTAAACTTCACAGGTGTGTGGTCTTTATTTCAGCACCCAGCCCTCTTTCTCCACCCTACCTATTACGTCACGGCGATACGTAGTCACATCACCATCTCCGTTTCTCTAACGGGAGAAACGTGAATCTTTTGTTAAAAAAGTCAAGATACGAGCACTAGCTCTGGTTCTTGCAAATGATCTATTCCACTCTGTAGCCCCAAGAGGTGCAGCTTCCGTCTTGGAAACCTTTGCATTGGATGTAGAGGAAGCCTAGCAGGCACTGCTTTGAAAAGATGGAAGACATCCCTGAAGGGGACAAATCTTAAAAACGTGTGTAAGCTGCTGATTTGGGTTACTGTGTTCATGGTTTGGTGTAGCTGTATTTTCTTTTAACCTTCATACCATTAGTAATGCTCTGCGAGGGTAGTCTGTAAACTACATGAACACCACCAACAGTGGGGCTGTACCTCCCAGTAACCAACACATGTTGTGTTTAAGTCTGGTCATTTCCAATAATGGATGATGTATGTAAACATGTTATGTCTCTTAGTGCAAAAAGAAACATCAATTTTTTAGGACTGGCTCTGTCAGGCCTAATCTAAAGGCTAGATATAAGGTCATGTGACTGCTGCTTCAATAAAAAATTTATATTGGATAAAGTCTGGTCTTCATTTATTTACTGTGGTAGTGGGCTTGGCTAATTCCACTAATATTTATAAAGGAGTTAAACTCATTTACCGGTGTGTGTGTGTTGGTGGGAGGGGGCCAGTCAATGCTAAGCTACAGATGGGACAGGCCTCCAGATGGCATTGAAGAGTACTTGTTTGAGATTCACCGATACTTGTTTATTCTCTGCCTTAGCTATCTGAGTTGGGATTGAGTTAAATGGCGTGCTAACTGTCCTGCAAGATAGCCTTTTAATTTAGTTATCTTGAAACACTACATTTTTATCTAAGGCCTTCCAGAAAGTACTGACCAAACAATCCTTTGCGAGAAAGTTTGAGGACAGCAGTGATAATGGATGTCATTTTGGAAGGCGCCCTAGAAGGATCATGAGGAAAGAAGAGGAGAGGTTGCGGTTCTAAATCACTGAAAAGTTTGTGAAAGGAAAAGAAGAAAAGTGTAGGGATGGTCACCCATTCCTCAGGTGTAGGAATATTTCATCCACCCACCACACTATCGGGTTTAGGAGATCTGTGGGTCCAACAAGCGAAAGCTACCAGAGAAAAGCTGCAGTGGACAGTGCCATGATGAGACCTACGGGTTTTTAGGAGCTAGAAACAAGTGATTAATCAAGTGTGTGTTTCTCTTTGCATACTCTTTTCTCCAGAAAGACCGCTCTGGGCCTTCCCACAAGAAGACTGCTTGTTGATGTCAAGGTTTTAATTAGCTCCTAGAAGTCTGGGTGAGGGTAGAGAGGCTGCGGAGTGACTGACCGATGTGACCAAAAGGTAAGCAGTAGCTTATTTAAAAGGTCTTCCTCTGAGCTTTGGAGACTGACTCCAGTCTCTTCCGACTGAGTCATGAAAACCTGCAAAAAGAAGACAGTGGCCACACGGCTGTCTACAAACTGATGCTTAGTTTTACTTGCTGAAAAACAGGGAAGGGAGTAATAAATCCAAATGTTTCAGAGTTGGAAAGTTGAATCTGGATTCTCCTAGTCTTACGAATGTGAGATCCACATAGCTGCGGGAAGGGAGCATAATGAGTGAGCTCTTTGGTGCATCTAGTCTTGAATCTTAACTACACTTAGACTACACTAGCTTTTTTACAATCTATGGAAATCATATCTACATGTCCAGTGTTTTAGGAACTGCCTGTTTTTTAAATCAATACCGGGAGACGAGTTTACCCTACACCCCATCTTAATCTCACCTTAACGTCACCTGTTCTGATAACAATAATAACCAGTTGCTGTCGAGTCTGTTCCGATTCATGGCGACCCCATGTGTTTCAGAGTAGAACTGTGTTCCATAGGGTTTTCAGTGGCTGATTTTTCAGAAGTAGATCACCAGGCCTTTCTTCCAAGGTGCCTCTGGGAGACAAACCTCCAACCTTTCACTTATCAGCCAAGCACATTAACCGTTTGCATCCCCCAGGGATTCCACCTGCTCTAGCTGACACCTAACAACACTCTCAGGCTCTGAAAATTGCAAATTGTTTCAGTGGGGAGTGGAGATGCATATGATTTATCAGTACAGTTGAATGAAATTCATATTTCCAAATGAGTATAATTAGACGAAATTCCTGGAGGCAAAAGCTGTATTCATTGAGTTTGGAGAGAGGAGCTCTCCTTCCATTTCCTTTCTAAAAATGAGTACTTTCTGTATCTCCTGGGTGCAGAAGAGGCTGGTAAATCTGGAGGATGGCAGGGAACGTATTCACTTGCTTTGATTTATAGCATCAGTGATTTCTTATGTTCTCCAAGTTTGGCCTGCTTCTTACAAACTGGCAAAAGCTAAGTGATTTCCTGTTCCTTAAAATTTAGTTACTTTCTAGCTTTATTTGCAACAAAATGTTACACATTTAAAATGCATCCAATTTGTACCTTTTTAATTATGATGTATATATATATATATATATATATATACTTTTTTATATAGAACAATCATGTTATGAGCAAACCAAGTTAAACAATGCATTTTTATGTTCTTACACCAGCAGAGTCTTCAGATGTATAAAGGAAAACAATAAACTAAATTATATATTAAAATAAATTATATATCGCTTAACTTCCATGATACCTTCTGTGAAATAGGACGTTATGTGATTTGGATGCCGTGTGAACACCACGTTATATGCTTAGCAAAGCTATATGAGATACCTTTTGTTTAACTCCAAATCAATCCTACTCCTTCGCCTCTTGGCTGCTGCTATTGCTAGAACTGTTTTTGCCACGTTTGGGAGCCATGATGCACTTTACGGTAACATTTTCAAAAGAAAATTAGAACACTACAACATTCAAGAGACACACAATACACGAGATTGGATGCTGCTGCCTACGAATTGAAGCATACACTGTATGGTATACTTTTTATTTGTAGGTAGAGAAAGTTCACATTAAAATGATAGAAAGTACAGTATACTACATACATAAGCCAGGAACGCATTTATTATGACTATCAAGACATATGTGTTATAGGTATATATGTATTGTACCAGTACACACCTGGCAGCATAATCACTTTGCATACAAAAGAGGAGATACTCGAGCTGAGTGCTGGAAGCTGTTGGGTTCGCTACTTCCATTACATCCAATACATCCCGTTCTCCGACTGGGATTTCTGAACCCTGTTATAACTTGGGACCACAGACATACACACCGTCGGACATTGCCCGAACGGACATTATGCAGTGCATGACTGTATGTTTCTGTTTCCCCACCCCATGTTTCTTTTTTTTCTCCCCAGAAAAAAAGGCAAAAAATTTACATCTCCAGCCAGAAGTTGATTCAGTCCTCTTGACTTGATTTCACATTAAACCCAGGATCATACTTGGGAAGCCTAGTTTTTAGGTGTGGAATGCCTATGTAAAATTAAAGTGTAATTTTTGAAGAGGCAAAGGCATTTCCACCCACAAATGGCTAGAAACAAGGCAGACGTTTTCATTCTCTTTAGCTTTGAGAACAGCTATGTAAAAAACATACAGTGCAGACAAATGATTCTGCTCTAGCAAGTTTGTTAACTGTGGGTGTAGCCTTGTCACAGAGAGTACCCCCAGTGTTCCAGCCTCAGGAACAAACCCAAGCCCCAGTTCAGATACGGAGCAGACCTATACCAAGTCACACGTGTACACACGGCTGCAGTCAGTGACCTCCCCCTGCCCCAATCGTATGTCCTAGGGAACTTCTCTTGGCCCCCAGGTGCACACACAACCCCAGTGCAGCTCAGCATCTACACAGACGTTCCTTGGGCATCTTGTGTCAGTTGTCACTTCTCCTTTTGATCAAAGTTATTTGTGTTTCTGCCTTGATTTCTTAACTCTTAACTCTCTGAGGTCAGGATCCATGTCTGAGTCACCTTTGTGTACCCCACACAGCAGGCTGTATAAAGTAGGTATTTAATACTGTATTTGGATGCAGAGACACAGGGCAAGATGCCCAGAATGAAGGGCGAATAGACGACAGAGAGATCCTGACAAGCTTCTGACATTTGTGGCAGGCATCCTAACTTCTCTCTAGAACATTCCCACAGATACAAGCCTATGTTCATCAGCATTAGTATCTGTGAGCAGCTTGGGACAGAGGCTGGGATTTGGGAATGAGCGGGGTGTGGGAGATGGGGTTTTTAGAGGTAGCAGTGAACAGACTCAAGAAGCTAATGAATGTGGGCTTGGGAATAGCACCTCCCTGGTCTGCCCTGACCCTCCCCACCACAGCATTGCACCCCCAGACCACAGGGTCTTCTCAAAGGGGAGGCAGCCTTGCCTCTCTGATGGGCCTAACCTGTAGACCAGGCACTTTCTGCACCAGGTCTATGGCTCCTGTCTCCACAGCTGAGCTGGGACATGGGGGACTGGGCATGAGAGGACTCTTGTCCCCGTCCTGAGGAAAGCCAGCCAGCTGTGGTCACAGCAGACGGCAAGTTTCCTGGGGAGGCAGGATCAGTGGGGCACCGTCAGCTATCGGTGGTATCCATCTGTCTAGCCCCAGGAGTGGCAGCTCAGAGGGTTCTGAGTCTGGCTGCCCCACAGAGGCTCACCAAGGGCAGCTGCTCAGCCATCTGTGATGCTGAAGAGCTCCCGCATGAGGGGAGTGGCGAAGGGGTGGATGTCCTGGATGCGCAGCAGCCTCTGGGTTTGCTTAGCACTGACGCTCCGCAGCTCAGTGAGCACGGCCATGATCTTCAGGAACAGGAACCTGCAGACCACCCAGACGAAATGTTGGTGTGCAGCCTACACTCCCGCCCATCCCACCAGCCCTGGGACAGCTCTGAGACTGCACAAGTGTGGGCGTTTGAATCTCAGGCCGTCTCATGTCAGCCAGAGATGAGGCCTGGCTGAGCTCCTTAAGCTGCTGCTTCAGCTTGTGGACAAGAACACCAGAACAGCCGGACTGGTGTTTGAGGTGAGGACTCACACTCACCCCTCCCACCCATCCACTCGGCTTGTGTCTTCTGAGACCTCATTGCAGGCACCAGATGCAG